TCTTGATGCACTGACACCAGCCTCAGTCCACTCCTTATGAAGCTCCCCCAGATTTCTGAATCGCCCTTGCTTGACAATCCTCTCAAGGCTGCGGTCATCCCTGTCACTTTTGCACCTTTTCCGGCCACATTCTTCCCTTCTTCTTAACACTCTGTTAATATACTTTGATACTGCGCTCTGTGAGCATCCAGCTTCTTTTGCAATTGCCTTTTGAGACTTTTCCTCCTTATGGAGGGTGTCAATGATGGTCGTCTGCACAACCGTCAAGTCAGCAGTCTTCCCCATGATTCTGAAGCCTACTAAGCCAGACTGAGACAATTTCAAGGCTGAGGAAACCTTTGCAGGTGTTTTGCATTAATTAGCTGACTAGATTGGGACACAGGGAGCCTACAATGTTGAACTTTGTCATGATATTTTAATTTTGTGAATTACTGGATTTGGGTTTTTTTGTCTTTAATCCATAATCATCAAAACTCAAACAAATAAAGGCTTGAAATATTTCACTTTGTGTGTAGTGAACTAATATAACATACAAGTTTCACTTTTTGAAACAAATTATTGAAATAAATGTACTTTCCCTCGATATTCTAACTTTTTGGCACATACCTGTATAAAGGTGGAAAAAAAGACAGTAATACTTATGGTTCTATAAAACATAATGCTGTAAGGTCCAAACAGCATAGTTTTATTGCTCAGCTTTCTGCAAGGGTACAAGAATTTTATTACCTTACTTCTTTATTGTCCATATGTACAGGTGTCAGTTACAAGCTCACAGAGCAGCTGATGTGAAAAACTATGAACACATATACTGTAATAATAAATACAAAAACAGATAATGAGAAGAAAACATGGTGCATTATTTTTTAAAATTAGTTTTTTTCTGTTTTGTAATGAATTTAATCAAAAGTAATTTATACACAGACACACATACACACTCAACTGTAAATTTGTACTTAAAATTGTGGGGAGAGCTTGTGGCTTATAACCAATTACACCATCATTACCATGCATAATTTTGACCAGAACCACTTGAAAATGTATTAAAGTAGACTAATCTGATCACTTAGACAAAAGTGCCCTTCCCTCACAGGTGTCCAAAGCTTGATAAAGGTAACAATGACCTGCATAATTGTAAAAGATGTCTAACCAGTTTGGCTGCACGAACTCCACTACAAATGCACTGAAGACTGAACCAGCCAGAAAACATGGTGCGACTAAAATGTAAAAAGAGCAGAAGTGGACTGTGTGCACTGGACAAACATACATGTGCATATCAAGAAGGTGTGTGCAGTATATATTTATATATATGTTATCTACATAAAAAGTAATCAGTCCATTAACTATTTGGTAAATAGAAGGAAGTGTCTGATTATAACTTGGAGCCCAAGTATGCATAATGTGTGCAAAAAACTGTAATGCATTTCTTTTCCTCTTCTGAGTCAGTTGTTAAAGGTAAAATCAAATAAATTTTCCGTTTCTATACAAAGATGACACTTTCGATGTACTGTTTTGTTTCTCTGATTTATCTCATAGTAACCACAAACTAAAACAAGTTTTCTGAGCATCACTTAACAGACTGTTCATAAATGCAGGCAGTGTAGATGTAAGAAGAAGCCAAAAGGTTTTCTAAGAGTAATAATTATGCAAATAAATAGGCTTCATCTTTGGAGCATCCATTCATGCAGAGGGTTTTTCTGGATGGAGGCTCAGGTGATGGAGATGCTCCTCACCATCACCTCTCTGATTTTTAGCGACTTTTCATTTTGGTTGAACACTTTCACTGTGTAGCAC